GTGGATCTGGGAGGACCCACCCCACCTGCTCTAGATCAGGCGTGGATCTGGGAGGACCCTCCCCCCTCCTGCTCTGAGACAAAAAGAGAGGAATTAAAACCTTGGTAAAATAATAAAAAGTAGCTAAAGTAAAGAAAAATTAGGGTCGAAACCCTGGTATCATCAATCTGAAAATTCTCTTAAATATGCATTAGCCTCTAGGGTATAAGAGACTTTAGCAGTTACATTGCATGTTGCACATGTATATTTCATATGACAAACACAATATTTGCTTTGAACACATTTAAGAACTCTCTAACCTACAGAGTCAAACCTGGACCAGAGCCAAGCCTGAAAATAACTGTAAAAAGGAACTTTCCCCACAAATAGCAATCCAGTCCAGTTAAATCCCACACTGTATTGCTGTGTCATACTGGAATGGTTTGTGGCTTGTCCCTGCCCAGACTGTAACACTTGTCCTCCACGTCTACAGTTTGGCACTTAATGGGCCCATTGTCTTAGTGTACATGCCACACACAACCGTGCAAACACCACCCACAGTTTCTGCATCGATCTTGACAGAAGTTATCAAGCTCAGTACTGTTAAGTCTTGTTGGATTTTTGATTAGTGTTGCCCCTTTGTCTCTGTGACTGCTGCATTACTAAACCATTTCAACTTTCCAAAATCTTTTCATCATCATTTGACAATCTTGCATTTTGCAAATGGTCCATTATTACGTTTAATGAAGGGAAATTGCCAACCTATTCGTTAGGTGTCAAGGAGAAGGTGAATCATATTTTCTTGCCTCAATGATTTTGTTTGGTACTGTGGATAAGACAACTGTTACTTCCCTTTTTCAAAAGATATCTTTCACAATTGTGAATTCGAAAGAATCTCACAGAAAGGCCCATAAATCATGCGGCAAGATGAATCCATCGTATCTTAATCCAGTTATTACATTAAAAACTCCAAACCATCAAACTACAAGAAATGTGCAACCCAACTACAAGTATTTCAGCCGGATAATGACAAAGGAAAAAAGGCAAATTCAGGTCTGTTATACCACATCATGTACACTACCACAGCCATGTACTGGTACATGTACATGTAGTGCACTGCTTTGTGGCAAGCCTCTCTGAGCGGAAACAAGACAGGAAAAATTCCTATATGATGATGACAGTCGTTTGGTAAGTACTGACCACATTTGCGCACACCCGCATACCCTGTCAGTGCAGCCTTACATGGACTTGTGCATAAATGACCTTGCTATTTTAAATACTGAGCTGGCACATTGTGTTTAGCATCTCAAACAACTCCAGTCTACATTCATCAAGTTCACTGAATTTTGAATTCCCGCCTAAGACCTACATGAAGGCCTACATGAAAGTGAAACCAAACATGCCAGACAAACTTTTTGTCACACTGAAAATTTCTAGTCCGAAAATAGCTCAACCCAGTAAATTTTCAGTGTCATGCCGGAAAAGAGTTCCACATAGGCCTACAGTCTGCCAGTAAATAATCCTCACAGTGACCTAACCATCTGAAAGCAAAACATGTCCAGATGAGTTCAATTTAGGCATGTTAGGAGGGAAAATACCAGTCGCTTAGCCTACAAAATAAACATGAGACAGCACTCAAGCCTAGATTTTTTAAGACCAGTCAAATAGGGTTTGTGCAAAGGGTGTTCATTACCTTCCACACCCTGTTCCTATAATAAGGAAACAAAGTCCACTTTCTCAAACTAACATTCTGACCTTAAGGAACCATTACTCAATCCTGATAGGCCTAGTTTAGGTAAATTTTGATAATGTATAAGTAAGAAAACCATAAATTCCTAACCCGAGCAAGGCAAAGACAACCACTCAGTAGAATCACAACATTTTAATTCTCGACTGATTACCTGACTCAGGCATTTTGGACTCCTTAAAACAAATCTCCATCCAGGTCAAGGAACCAGACTACAATTTGTTGTCGTTCACAGCTCTTCAAGGTGGTTACGCACACTACCATTTTACTCCAAAATTTCCCTCAAACACCTAAAGCTCTGTTCTCATTTCTTTCTGATATGAAAAAGGACATCACCAACAACTTGTTTTGATAAGTTGTTTCGAAGAGTAGAATTTCGTCCCACATTACAGAAACAGGGTGCTAAAGGTAAGGAACACCATACACAGGGTCTCAAGCGGCGTCCGTATGGCAAAACAGACAAACAGCATGACCAGGGTCAATAAAACATTACATGTATGTAACTGTTACGCCCCAACTACAGCATCAGTCCCGACTATAGTTGGGACCGTCCCAACTAGAGTGCTATAACTACAGCGCAGTGTGCATGTGCCCAGAAATGGGAGCATGTGCCAAAGTCACATTGTTTATAATGTCATGTCATAGATGAAGTGTCATATTAGCAGGTCGGGGACCAAACCACAAACTAGCGATGACACCAGACTATGCATGTGCCGCTCGTTTGTGCAACAATGATGTAATTTTGGAACTGTTATTAGATCACGGTTCACAGATAACACTGATCTTTTATCGGCCACAAACTTCAAAACAAATTCCTCTGATTGATCAAATTTACAGGAAACATGCTACCCAAGATCTAAATGAAACTTTCATTTGGTATCTATAAAAGCAGATTGAGGAAATTTTTGGTCAAATCTTGCACTGGAAGTGTCGAATTCAGTGGGCAGGCAAGTCCAACTCGGCCGATGAAAACGTTTACGCGAAAAAAATGAAGCTTTGCCGAAGTTTCCTTTATGCACGAAAATGTTGCCATTATAAATCTCCATCAATTCACTGTGGCAGATTTTATGTTTACCGTGGCAATTTGCCAAAATAGGGATCAGAAACTGTGTCAAGTGTGAGATACATAAACTTGGAAAGTTGGATAAGGTTGAAAAATTTTCTACAGAAATTGGTCAACAATAGTTGGGCCAGCCTAACTGCAGCACTACAGTTCGGACTGTCGCAGCTATAGTTGGGACAGATGCTATAGTTGGGGTGTCACATAGCCATGGCATTCGTAGCCTAGCTACACTGCCATGACTGCCTTTTCCACAGGTCACATGGGAAAAATGGTTCTATTCTAAAGCCCATCATGCCTAACCCGGCTAACGTCACTCACCATGCACGAACAAAGTCCCAAAGCAAAATGCAACGAAATCTTGGGCGAAACGGCTTCGAGCTGTTCATAAAATGCAGAATATCCTCAACCACAAAACTACATCAGAAAATACCACGAGAATTCAGGACAATTCTCTACAAAATGTCTTTTGAATTAGCTTACGGTCTTCAGCGAAAACCATCACCGCACGTATATTAAAAGGTATAGGTGTAGTCAGTGTAGTCTGTCTGCTTCAATGGATGCTAATGCGTGCTCGGAAACGGGAACAATAGGAGGCCGTGGCCAGACTGGTGAGAAAAGGTGTTGCACAGATCCCAGACGTTACTCTCACAAAATGAACAATGGTCAGGTGGCCACTACTTCAGTACCGCCATCACTTTAAGCAGAGGGCGCTCTTTCAGCTTGTTGCCTTGTTAAGCCTGAGGCGTAGACGAAGTTGAGTATTGGAAAACGGCCTTAGGAAAATAGGCCTAGAAGAGTCATTCTTGTATCGAAATTTCTTGCAGTGAAAAAATAAATGAACTAATTAAATTTTAAAAATTGAGAGAATTTCGTGCTGAAACTATTTTGGGGGACAGCCACCCTTTGTTGGACCGGGCTACATTTTTAGAGTATATGCGAAAACATTAAATGTGTTAAAAAGATTTTTCCCCTTTTCCCCCACAGATTAATGTTACTAGACTGTCTTTATAAATGTGAATTTGTGGTGGTGGAGGTGGGGAGTCCTCTACTTTCAAACAATGTACAACACAAACATAACAGCACATGTAATTAAAAGAGCTTTTCAACCAAAATAATATCAACTCTTTCATTCAAGGAGAATATAATAAAGGAATGGAACATTTTCAGTCGCTCACAGATTACTAATCAAGCCTCGCACGATGGTGAAATGGACTGATCGTTTTCTACGATCCGACTTAAGAAATGTAACCTGACCAATTCCACAAATGGTCAGGATGACACTGCTTAATTTTGAACTTAACCATTCCAGAAATGGACAGCTGGAACTAATAGAGAAACTTTCTCATCAACCACTGCTGTACACGGCACTGGCTAGCTAATCGATACGGTTCTTTCCTCCAATCTTTAGGCCTACATGCTTTTAGATTGTTTCTGTTTTTTGTCGAACCTGTCACGACATATGTACACTGATTACGCAAAAAATAAGTTATCACAGTTTGAGTGACTACGGCAACTTCATTAACCGAAGGCATATAATGCTTCTAAAAGGGACAGTGGTTTCACTGTGTTTTCGCGTGAACTGAATAATTGATCAGCTTGTAATCAGAATCTATACAATTACACGACTCAAAACAAGTTAAGGACCACTTTTTATTTCGTGTATACTTTTTATATGAGATATTTTACTGCTGAAAATGTGCATTTGATGTATTGAAACATTATTAAAAATGTTTATTCAAATGAGAACGCCATCTAGACAAACAAAAATAAAAGAAGTTGACTCCACTCATTGCTTGGAAAAAATTATAATTCAAGAAAAAAGGTGGTCCTTAACTTTTTTGAGTAGTGTATTTTTGCACTGGAAGGTATGTTTCCACGAGGACTGAGTTAACAAAATGGAGTTTTATCGCAAAAGAATATTTCGTTTCGGACAAAACACTGTTTCCAAGGTGTTTTCCCATATTCAAATGTACGCTAAATAAGGACCACCCACTGTACGTGGTGATCAAGGGGTGGACTGGGCTCACTGGTCGCTGCTTTGCACCATTGGATCGTATTACATAGTGTAAATTGCACATTACTGCACGCATTATGTTAATAACAGTGAAGGTATTCGTCACGTCCGTCGTTAGATAATTAGTCGGAGCTCGGCAAATAATGTTATCTCAAATTTTAGAGCAGCACCAATGGATTTCGACTGAAGTCCACAGACAAAAACACAACTTACAAGTTGTCATAGTCAATCGAATGGCCAGTGAGCAAACATCTGCAAAATGTAAGCATTCCATTAATCTCTTTATTCATTTGTTCAAGATTTCAAATTAATGTAATCTTTTATTTTGCTTCTATTTCAAAGGTGGGGGTATATTACAACCATGTCTTCAAGATCTTACCATTACCTTGCTAACTGATTCATAGATCCAAGCACAGCAGACCGACATGCAGCTCGATCGAAAAAGATACGTGAAAAAAGGCCGCGTACCTTTGATCGCATTTAAACATTCAAAGGCAATGCCAAGGCTTCATGAACTTACAGATGATCATGGCATGAACAAATATACTGCCAGATGGGAAAGCCAACCCCGAGTCTGAGCGCATAATCTACTCAAAAACAGTCGTGAGTAGGACAGTTCAAAATTTCTGATATAACTGACAACAATCCACTTTTGCAATATAATGAACTACATGTATTTGTCTGTTATGAAAATTGAAATAAATGAATCGGCAAGAAAAAGGGAGAAGGAAAATAGAGATCTCAGATTCTTCATTTTCATTTATTTGAATGCAAAAATGGAATGTGCACATATGAAATTTGAAAAGGAACATACACCGTCGCGTGTGAATAAACCGTCATCAACGTCAACCGACCACTGAATTCACGACTAGACGTGAGTCATACATTATAGGATGTGTTCAGTGAAACTGTTCCGTCCTAAAACGTGCGAAAACTAGGACTGCAGCAGGCAGCAGATTCGCTTCGATTTAACCACGTGAACATAGATTTAAATGCTATATTTTAGGAATTTGGCTGGGAAAACCTATGCGTAAAATCTACAATTTGGGGTAGAAAACAGACTTCAGAAGTTTACTCTCTTCAGGGTGGTAAGAAGAAAATACTATCCATTTTTAAACGTAAAACATCATCTGATTGTAATTGTATGTTTAAAAAAGGTCAATGTTACTTCCTCCTGTTTGCTTTTAGCTTTCCAAAGATGTGTGCCTGTAAAAACACACACTTAGAAATGAGTTGTGTCTCATCTTGATACCTGGGTTACTCAAAGATTATTACTCTTATAGGATGATACAACACCCGGGTGAACACTTCGGCAAAATGCAAAGAGGGAAAGTGAATGTTACTGAAATTGTTTTCTTGCTTCGCTCCACTTTTTAAGTACATGGCTCCTCTCCTAAAACATTTCAAATGACAGCGAATGGTTTTGAATACAGTCCCCGCAACGCCACCGACTTCCTAATACTGGCGATTCACAAAAGTGCGCCTCCAAGAGTTTGCAACGCGTTGACCAATCACAACGCGCGAAATTTGTCGACCCAATGCGCGTTTGGAAAGGGTCGACAGATTTCGTGCATTGTGATTGGTCAAAGCGTTGCAAGTTCTTGGAGACGCGCTGTTGTGAAACGCCTGTATTGGTGTGCCGTGCGTGCGTACTGGTATGGTATCTAAGGACAGCATTCCGGCCAACAATATTAAGTACAGTCTAGAACGAGGATCTCTTCGAGCGGTTCGCACAGCAATCCACCTTAAACAGAAGCACCCCCTCATCGTTGAAATGAGCTAAGCTGGTCGAGGTGTTCCTTTTGTTGGTAGAGTGACGTACACACGACGCGTGCATCTCATAGTCGTTTGTGACCGGCGGAGTGAAGTTCCTACAAAAGGAGCCGCCGTTGCTAGGAAAATTCCGCCCTCTCTTGTTCCCGCTCGTGGCCCATACTTCCCTTCGCTCATCATCAAGCGCCCGAACAGGCCCTGCGTGACGAGAGAAATACTTCCTTCATCTTGACTTCCAAAGAATTTTAAGTAAATCCTGCGCAAATATTCTTTTCACGCGAACCCAATTGTCTCCTCTCCTATGTTGATTGCTTCCTCTTCACAGTTTTTTTTCCAAAACAGAAAAGCGGCCAAGGTGGTGGAAACCTGTCCAAGGTTGATACCATTTGAAACAGTTTTAAAGATATCCCGCATCCACAGGCTCAACATGTTCATGATGATCTTATATTTCTCCCTTTCATTAGTCGATTTTTGAGAGCATTTGGGGCAGTTGACGGTGCCCTCGTAGCTAGTCTTGTTTTCTCATTTGAAATCACCTCATATTTTCGGGAGAGTTCATCAGTCTGGGATCCCCATTACAAGGAAGATAAATTACAACTGGAAGGGGTTCCACGACGATCTGCCAGATTTGTCTTCAACAACACAAAGAGGGAGAACGTCACCAAAATCCTGTCCCAACTGGAATGGGAGACCTTGGAACATCGTAGAGCTGCCCAGAGATTGACCCTCCTCAACAAATCTGTCAACGAAACCGTTGCCATCAATACGGACTCATAACAGGCCAAACCAAACCATTCTACAAGACAACAGGTTGCAATCTCCTTCATGAAACCATCCGCATATAAAGACTGCTACAAGTTCTCATTATTCCCAAAACCTTTTGCAGAATGGAATAAATTACCTGCGGGAATACGTCATGCACCAGCATTGCAATTTTCAAGTCGCAACTTCAATCCCTCATTACATAGGTGATCTCGTCAGGGGGGCTCACTTGATGTAAATATCTGCTCAGTCACCTCACGCCTGCCTATTACATGAGGAGATTATGCAGTATTTCACCAGAAACAGAACCTACACTCCCACAATTTTTACTCCTAATTTCCGCCCCTTGTGAGACGAACAACAAAATGTCAAGACAGTCTCACGCTGCATATTAATACAGTGTTATTTATTTAAATTTCAATTTTGCAAGGTTTTCATAGATTAGCTTTTTTTTTTCAATCTGGAAATGAGCCAGAAATGATTTAATGTTAATAGTATTAATAAGCATACAAGGGATATACAAGTCAACTCTATCTTTTTGCGATTAAAAAAATTCCTACATATCCCAAGTTTTCCAACCGTTTTTCTATCCTAACATTTTAGAATTTCATTACATCAAGACCATTATACTTAAATTTGGGTTAGTGTTAAAGTTTGCAGTGTATGTTTACAAACACTAAATCTGGGGGCTCAAAATATGAACAGTTGACTTGACAAGCAACTGTTCAAGTTACACAAATAATGGATGTTAAGCTACCCAGCAATCTCAAGTACAAAAAGAACCACCACCAAGGCACTCTATATAACATACGATACATACTGTCTATCAGTTCTTAGACTAATGTCAACAAAAGTATAAAAATGGCTGCTGCAAGCTTAGAACACAAAATACATCACCCTCAGAATCAAACCAATTTCAAACAAACTAAACGGCTTTTTTTTTTCCTTTTAGCCTACCTTTGCTCTGGTTCAGTTACTAAGTTCCTCTGAATGCAAAGAAAAAAATCAGTATGGAACGCAGCATGTGACCTGCCATCAGACTGTGCAAAATCATGAAAATAGTACTCAATTCAAAAAGGCCAACTACTCGCTCTCCACGCGCCAACTTACAGGAGTAAAGAGACTCTCGTATCTGTCTACAGCACAGCGCTACATGCACATTAAAAAACACAGGTAAGACTGGAGTCAGGTTTGGGACACCATTACGGTATTCATTCCAGACTGTACAAGATTCAAAGGGTATGGGTAATGTATGTCATTAGTAGGAACACCCCGAGGTCTTGTGGATTCAGTTCCTCGACCATTCATCAACTTTTCCTAAGTAGTCATAAGGCTACATTTACAGCAAATCTCAAAGTTTCCTCAATGTAAATATGTACAGGTGCCAACTTTTTTTTTCAATTCTCCAAACTGCTTAAGCTTAGATAACATATTAGGGATTTCGGACAAAAAACAAGTAACCAGAAGTTACCAATTCATTCTAGTCTAACACCTGAAACCAACCCCCTTTCTCTGCCACATTTGGAAATCTACAAATATATTTTTGGAATGCATCAAAAAAGTCAGTTTATAATTTGCCAGACAATGCCAAAAACATATGGATTTAGCCACACCATTAACATAGAATTCCTTTTGAGTAAAGGTAAGATATATCCCACACAAGGAGGCTACTTATTTGAAGGTTGAATTAACTGTTGATTTTTTTCTATTTAATGTGGGAGTAAAGACAGTTATCAATACCTAACAACAATTAGTTAAAAGCCTGTATTCAACGGAACTGCTGCCAACTCCTCGCTCCAGTGTTGTTTGGATAAAAGAATATGCAATCTAACATTAATTCTCTAACTCTTCACTGTCTGAATATTTGTGTTTTCATTTCAATCTTACCTCTTCATGCTGTCAAAATAAAGCAGAGAACAGTGTTTACAAATTTCTCCAAATTCAAACTACGAAAAGAAAGTGGATGTTTTCTTGAAGGTATTGAACACATACTAAATACCTTTTCAATGGGTCTATTAAACAACCTATTAGATAGCAAAACAGCACTTTAGATAATTTCACATACAGAAAATAAACAGATAAAAGAAATGAAAGTGCTAAATTGTAACACTGATTGGAAATGTTAGTTTCTATGATTAAACTAAATATATAAACTGACCACTATATTGTTCAATATAAAATAACAGTGGTTAAATTTCTGTGTAAAGTACAAATCAAGTTTGCTGCAAACATGACTGTGCGGTTCATCCTCTTTACTCTAAAATTGCAAGGAGAACATTTAGGTCTACTCTACAGCAGTAGGGGTCAACACTGGAATATACTTCAACAAATTAGAAATTTCTGAAACACTGGCATTTCGTCCCCCATTCTCTCCTTTCAAGGAATGCTGCTGTCAACTTTCTAACGGCAGAAACACCAAAAAAGAAAAACCCCTTCCACCGAAGTCAACATGTACATAAAACACCACTGTCATACAAACCTCCTTCCTGAACGGTAATCATTTGTCCATACTTGAATAGTTTCAGTAGAAAAACTTTCATTTCATTAATTCTAATTTTGTTAGCCACAATTTAGCATATATCATGGTAATTCTTTTGTAACTTTGTTTTTAAAGTTTGATTTCATTTAGGGATTGATAAATAAAAATAATGACTTAACCGCCAAGACGTTTATGTGTGCTACTTCTAGCATCTCAATCATTAAATAAAAATCACAACGGAAAACCTGCACTGCCTTGGTGTTAACTAAAGGATTCAGTTCAAAATACAATTCACGCCTAAATGCCACCAAAAAAATCTTCCTTTCTAAGCAACCAAAACAAACTTTTAACACCCTGCTAATACTCGTGCTGGACATTCAATTGTGGTGATGAAAATTTAATAACAAGCAAAGCGAAAGTGCTGAAAACTCAAGAATCTTTCAGTTCTGTAAATAAAAACTGACGAAGAGTGCCACTGATACCTGACATCAAAAATCAAAACACAAATTCCAAATGTCCCATAATTGCTACAAAAATGCAACATTGCCCTCAGAAACATCAAATTACTTGCTTTTCTTACTAAATGTGTGTCACAGCTGAATTTCTTTCATGCTAAATGTTTTTGTAAATGGCATCTGAAAAGATATGAGTCAGGTGGTCTTGACTGAGTCACGTACCAATGCTACTTACGAAATTTGCATAATGACGCTAGCATGGCGCCCCCTACAAAGCAGAAAAATGGAAGAACGATTCTAAGTCATTGGTTTGTTGTTAGTTTACTCCATGCCATCTCCAGTTCCGTCTGGTAAATCGTCGGCAGAGCTGGTGCTCTCAGCTGGGACATTTCGCCTGCCTCCATAGCGACTCGGACGGGCCGATGACCCAGCACCCCTGTCAAGCAAAAACCCAGGAAAGAACAAATGTCTCTTGAGGAAACATGTTACAGTTGACAGCATAAACTGCAAACCAACACACCAGGAGTTCCAATTTAATGAGAACGGAATTAATATCAGATAAAGATGGCTCACAACCATCTGATTTCCTGAACACTTATGTTTAGATAAAGTTGTGCCTGATTTTGGTAGACATGTTAGCTCCTGCTTGAGGGTGATCAACTTAAATGCTGGAATTCAATGGAAATGGGACTGGCATGGTGTTGACTAAGGTTCCCTTTTAATATACGACTAATTCAACCAAGATATTCATCTCCACTAGCCAGCAGGTCACAGCTTACATATTTCAATGTCTCAGTACTGAGACTGCAACACTAATTTGACCCATTATTCCAAAACCAGGCTCAGAAACTAAGCAATTATCTACAAAATGATACTGCTATGCACACAAACAGGGCACATTCTGCAACTTTCACTGGCTGGAGTTACTACAGCTTACCACAGTCAAACGTCTCGCTTTGGATCAATCTGAAGGACGAAACTTGCCGATGGAGGAAAGCCATCGACAAACATCAAAATTACCAACTCCACTCAGTCAGGGGTACCGGTATTTAGTCACAATTTGTTTTAAATTTGCAAATGTGAAAAACCAGTTCCAGAAAACAAACTGAGCTGGAGTTCTGTAATGCAACTACACAAAAGCCCAGGCCCCCGCTAACTCTTTTTTTGGTACCTTGCTCTGGTCTTGAGGGAACTGATTTCTCGTTGGAGAGCTTCATTAGCTTCCGTCGTCTCATCCAGCTCTCTCTGAACTTTACGTTTCTGGCCGTTGATTCGTGTACACTCATCCTCCGCCTCGTCAAGCTGACGCTTCAAGTTCTTGTTCTTGAGGTTAGCCTTGTCCACCTAAGGGAATAAAAAAGATAAAGATAAAATCCTTGAGTCAGTACTCAAAGATCCTTATGGCGGTCAAACGATTTTTGGCAAACAATTTTAGGGTCTTTTTCTGAAAATCTTTACTTGCACTTTGAGTGAACCTTAAGTGCACTTTTAGTGCAAGGTTTCAAAAGAACCTGATCATACTAACAAGACCAAATTGTCTTTATTTTAACAAGAAGATTAGAGGCTATGACCACAACCAAAAAGTGAACACGTCTAAAAGTAGTTTTAAAAATGTACGAAGCTGCCTGAATATTCACAGAGGATTTACTTTAACTTCCTTGCATCTGCCTAAAAACCCAACGCCTTATTTTGCAAAACCTATTCCACCCTGGAATAACTATTTTTCATGGAACGTAATGCTGCAGTTATTTTCTCAAGAAGTTCTTTTTTTGGCAACAGTTGGGAGTAGTACTCATGACTGGATCTCACAACATGAGTCTGAAGACCAAAGTTTGAAGAATTCTGTTTAGTCTGCATAATTCTGCTTAGTCTGCATAATTCTGCTTAGTCTGCATAATTCTGCTTAGTCTGCATTAGACAGAGTCAATTGAGTTCTTGGTTCTCATGTATCGTGCACCTTGGCACCCCAATGAAAATGGATTATATACGAGTGAAAAGTACGATATTCATTTAAAGGCCTTTCACTGAAGTGGTTGCTCAAGTGACTTGTGACTCATTTTGCTGTGTTGGAGCATCGTTGCTCTTTTCTTTCTCAGGACAATGGGCGGGGTAAGGGATGAGGGGTCGGGTAAGGAATGAGAGGTGGGCCTTACCTGCTCCTTGTACTGGTCAGCATGTCGTCGTTCATCTTCCACCTGCATGTTCAATTCCTTGATCTTCTTCTCTGCTCGTCTGGCGGCCTTGGTAGCTGCATTGCGCTCTCTGCAATGTGAAAATCAAAGATGATGTATCAGTTTGGTAGATATATACACAAACATCATTAATTCTGATGATAACCATTCATCACTTGTGCACCGGGCACACTGAAATGCAAATAATCAGTGTTTATTGCTCATGATGGCTTTCGTGAGTATCTGGTAAAACTCTATCAAACTGAATCATAGCATTTTAGACTGATAGTCATTGTGCAAGCAAATAATCTGGATAAAGCCAGCTATTTCACCAATGGCAAATGTTACATTTGCTTTGTGAGAGACGATTTCATACCGCTGGCTACAACAAAAATGAGGCGGTCTGAATGGCAATAAATTCACAGTACTCTGACACTCACCAGATTACCATAGCAACCAATTTAGACTGGATACCCTGTACATTTATCATTCTGCTGTCACATCACTGCCAACCTGTCAAACATTACCCTTGTATAATCTTAATTTCCATGACTTTCCATGGCTTTTTTCCAACAGCTTTCCAGGGCATCCTATTTTCCCCAATTTTCCATGAATTTCCAGGACAACTTTGTCCCCCCTGGATTTTTCCGGATTTCCAGGACCATGGACCCTCTTATCTTAGATTTGTCTAGTTTCTGCACCCTTCCTCGACCATGAGTGGGTATGCCTCATTGACTTGCCTTGCCTCACTGTCAATTTGTTCCTCCAGCTGAGCAAGTTTACTCTCCATCTGAGCAGTTGCTGATTTGATCTTCTTACTCATGGAAGCCTCCAAATCTTGCAGTTTGGCTTTCAACTCCTTATTCTACGGGAATCAAACATCAGGTGGACACAAATCAGCTTCACTTCAAAAACCACACAGAAGCCAACACAAGAATCGCCCAAAGGTGACAATCTTTTGATCATCAAATGCCTGGCTGGCTCTGATCTCACACAGGTCTTAAAGCCAAAGTGTGTACAATAGAATAACTACATTCAGTGGGCCTATATTTAATGTCAAGTTGGATGCAAGGCGGCGACTTGACCAACCAAGTGGACAAGTATGTTCCACTGGAATCGGTTGTATTGAAATTAAGCAGAGAGTACAGAGAAACCTATCCATTCACATTCTGAATGAAATGGACATGGGAATGAGGAAATGATGGAAATGTTTCAGGAATATTCCACTGTTATAAAAGAAACTGGGTTCTGAACAAAGCTTTTTATTGCGAGCAGGGTGTTGTTTTCCAACCGCAAGGCATGATGGAGGGACTTACTTGTCTCTCAAGGAGCATCTTGGCATTTTCCAGGCGTTGGTTGGAGGAGTGCTCTGAGGCAAGCTCATTGGTAATGGTCTCAATCTGGAAAGATATAGAAATATCATTCTGACTTACTGCAATGCGGTGTCCACGTGGTAAATAGTGACATCTGCTATATTAGCCTACTTGTCACTTGTTTCAGCATACACATCACATTGTGCATCACCTAAGGTGACACATCAGGCTTCATCCTATGTGCCTCCAAATACAGTCTATTACAAATAACCCATTTGAAAAGTTTTTAGTATCAAACTCAGCTAACCATTCTTCAAAGTGTGACACCACAGAATCTTTAGCTATTTAGCACCCCACAAGTCTTGACACAATCTTTAGCTCTTTAGTACCCCGCAACTCTAGACACAATCTTTCGCTATTTAGCATCCTGCAACTATTGACACAATCTTTCGCTATTTAGCACCCCGCAACTCTTGACACAATCTTTCGCTATTTAGCACCCCGCAACTCTTGACACAATCTTTCGCTATTTAGCATCCTGCAACTATTGACACAATCTTTAGCTATTTAGCACCCCGCAACTATTGATAGAATCTTTAGCTATTTAGCACCCCGCAACTCTTGATAGAATCTTACATTGAGGGAACAGATATTTAAGTGATTGGTTTACAAGTTACCAAAAGGTATTTGAAGCATGTACCAGCTAGTATGTAACTCAATGTGTCGCACCATGCTTAACTTTTTGTATCATTCAGCATGTTACCTCGTGTGTCAGCCTACAAGTCACACTATATGTGACCCTACAAAGCACCCCTTGTGTCATCCAATGTATCACTGCATTTGTCACTCCCCCGTTGCAAATCTTGTCACCCACCTGTTGGCTGTTCTTCCTGTCTTTGTCAATCAGTATCTCCACGTTGCTTTGCTCCTCCTCAAGTTCGTCTTCTAGCTGAGAGATACGCTGATCCAAGCGGCGTTTGTCTTCCAACAGGGTGTTTCCCTTGGACATGTTGCTGTTGATTTCTTCTTGAAGCTCATCACGCTCCGACTCGGCCTTACGACGCTGGCGCTCAGATGTAGCTAGTTCCTGAACGAACAAAAATTGGCTTACATTCCCAGTTCCCAACTCAACTAACTACAATCCTATTAAAGTGAAGATACTAGACTGTTGATCTGTTGATCATAGATATACAGAGTGTTGACAGTGTGAGGCAGCCCACCAATTTTAGCAACCACCTCAAGCTTTTCTGTTGAATTTTACCACCTCACACTTGAAATAGACAAAGGAAGCAAAATAGGAAAAAAACTCAGATATTTTGAAACTGATCAGTTTTAAGTTGTCCAATATGGTAGAAAGGGACAAAGTATACAAGATTGATTTATTTTAGAGGGGAAATTCAGAGTTGATGTACTATTAGATCGTATAGAATATATTTTAGGCCTTTTTCAAAACACTCGCTTTTGTTTTAGGTGCTAGAATTTTAGCAAATTTGTTTGACCCCCTAACACAGTGCCCCAGGGGAAGCCCAGTGCAAGAGCAAACCAACCTCCTGTAGTTGCATGAATTCCGTCTCCATCGTCTTGAGTTTACGTTCAGCATCACGAGCAGATGCAGCAAGATCTTCCCTGGACTGGCGAGCCTCATCCAGGTCCTGCTGGTACTCTTTCATCTGGGACTGAAGAGGGCAATGGAGCAAACCAGATTCACGTTACAATCAGTGCATAATTCTAAATTTCTCTGGACATCTTGGTGGTAGCTAGCATTTACAAGTAGAGCTTGGAGTAAAACACAGGCAACTAGTGCTTATGGTAAGTAACAGTTTCCGCAACACTAAGCACAACTCTTGAAATTGGGCCCTGCTCTAAACACAGACTATCCCGACATGCAGTCCGATGACAGAGGAGGGTAGTGACCGAAGGCAGACGAGACGCACTGCTGAAAGCTTACCTGGAGTTTACGGACTTGTCTGATACTGTCCTCCTTGATCTTACTCGCTGCCTCCACCTGACCTTCCAGATCCTTCATGTCCATCTCCAGTTTCTTCTTGGCATTGATGGCCACTCCTCGTTGCTTTCGCTCCTCCTCTAGTTCAACCTCCATCTCACGCAGCTACAAGAAAAATCAAAACAAATCTCTTGACCTGGTGAGGCTTCTGCATGGAAGGTTATGCATTTCTGGGCACACGGCAGTCCGAAAATGTTGGAATCTTTGACACTAATAACTTGAATCATTTCTCTGGATTTCTGAGAATTTCTTAGAGTAACATATTCCTTCTTGATTTTCAATTCACGGAAGAGTTGATTTGGGTCACAAACGTAGTCAATTTACTTTCAATCCAAACTGGTTTACAATACTTTGTACCTTTGTAGGCCATTTATAGTCAATGTCTCTTCAAAAGGTACTGATCTCTAGAAGACAACTCAATAAAGAGACAAACAGCATTTATGATTATCGTTAAGCCAAGTTAAGCATATTCATGCTCACCTGCACTGTCAGCTAGATTTACAAGAGTCCCTATTTCACAATGAAGGACCAATTACCATGACCGTTCAATAATTCCTAACTACAACCCCAAATGAACCATTCTCTATGATGATCCATTGCAACTTGGCCCACCTGTCGGATGACGCCACGCCTCTTCTCCTCCTGAGCCTCTTCCTTGGCGGCCGCCTCGCGCTCAAAGTTGGCCTTGAGCGCCTGCATGTTGACCTCCAGACGGAGCTTGGCATCCTCGGTGGCCTGGAGCTCGTCCTCCAGTTCCTCCATCTGGTTCTTCATCTCCTCAATTTGGGTCTCCAGAGCCTTCTTGGACTTCTCCAGTCCATGAACCTGACGACCATAAATTGGGCAAGTTGGAAGTCACATAAAACAAGGTGCATAACAGAAACAGGATTTTCGTTACAAAGAAGGCAGCTCATTTGAGGAAAAGAAATAGTTGACTATAGTTTTTCTGTACAACTAAAAGTTGATATTAGAGTGCATGTAAAAAGTCAACATTGGAACATTCCCTTGGACTGTTCCATTATTTCACTGGAATGGTCCACACCAGTGCATTCCCAAACTGAAGTGAATCCGAAGTCAATTGGGAACAGCAAAACACATGCATGACAGTCTATCCTATCGGCACAGCCACACACCAACCCATTGTTCCTGAAAGATCCCACCTGTTGGAAATATCAAACAAGCTCATTCTACGGGGGAAGGAGAGAGTTTATCACAGCGAGGGTGTGATATCACAAGAGAACTTACATTCTTGCCCACATCATCCTTGGATGACATGACTTCCTCTAATTCTGATGCCTGAGATTTCCGGATGCGTTCACTGTCCATCAGCTGGTCTTGAAGCTCTTCCAATTCACGATTCAATGACATGACCTACATGTTGAAAAGAAGACAGCAATGCATTCTTATCAAAAGCCAATATCCTACAAACTCTTTGTCAAAAAAAGCACTCAGTAGTATAATATACATTATGCATAAAACGCATATATCACATGTATAATATCCATATATCACATGTATAATATCCATATATCACATGTATAATATCCAAATAAAGTATGTATAATGTACATATATTCTTTTTTTCCTACTGTAACACAATTTTCTCTGACAAGCAGGAAACAAACTCCCTCAACACAAGTCAGTTGCTTACCTATGTCTCCAGCGCGTTCCGTATTTCACTCATATTTCACACACTCATATTTCACACACTCATATGAAAGCAGTCAATAACTCACCTTGGTCTCCTTCTCGCGCAGTTCCTTGTCAGTCTGGTCTTTCTCTTGCATCAAACGTTCCTTCTCATTTCTCTCCTCGGCCAGATGGCTGTCAAACTTCTTCTGCTTCTTCTCCAGACTGCTGACCAGAGCTCGTTCTTTTTCCATGTCCACAGTGACATCATCCAGCTGTTTCAAAAATGTAGCAACGATAATGAAGATATTAAATAAAGGGAACATATCCACTAGTGCCAGTGATAAATGCATCATTCAATCTTCCAAAATCCTCTGGGAAGTTCTGGAGGCTTGAGGCTATATAGCAAGATTGCATCACTGACTGCTTAGGATGCACTGTGCCACAGTATGGGTTGGACCTTGTGTTAATTATGGTCCACCATGCCTAAATTCAAGCTAAGATTATACGTGAAATCCTTCGTACTGCTCTGGGGTAACCATTCACGCTGCCTGAACACAATGGCAGGAATTGCCCAAGGATTTTGAAGGATTGAGGGTGGGGTTGGGGTTAATACACGTCGGTCACCAACACAAGACCCAGACACATTCCTTCAGTCACATCAGCTCCCTGGAGGAGAATAGGGCTTGCAGAAACTATTTCAAGCTTTCAATTACTAACCAACGACAAGCTAGGAGTGAGATTGGCACAGTGGTTCATTCCTCCCTATGCGACCCAGGTTTGAATCCCATCTTTGTCTACATGTGGACCGAGCCGGGATTCGAAACCAATGGATTGCATTTTCAACCTTTATCTGATCCTATGGGTTTTACCCGGAACATTCCTCTGGGGTTTTCCTCCCACCTCTAAAACTGTAACTGCTTCTCATCGTCTCCTCTCTACAGGTTTCTCCAGGATTGTGCGCTACAATGCCTAGGGTACTCATTTACCCTAGCAGAAACGAAATCAAATGACAAAGCCCTCTCTATCTGAATCTGAAAGAAGACCTGCCACTTTGTTGTACTTGCCTCTCCTTGCAGCCGCTTCTTGGTCTTCTCCAGCTTGTCGTTGCTGGCCAAGACCTCCTCCAGTCTGGACTGGGTCGCATCCAGTTCTCGCTGGATCTTCTTGTGGGTTTCCTCAGCATAATCCAAAGATGACTGGTCCTCCTCGTGTCTCTTCTTGGCATCTTGCAGCTGCCAAAAGCACAAGGCAATAGTCAGCCTATTCACTTCAACCAGTCAACAGTTCCACTTTTATCCTTATCCCCTTTCCGGCCCCCTTTTTTTCAGTCATAGGCCCTATTTACTACTTTCTCAGTCATTCATTTTTATTAGAAGTATTTTAATTTCTGCGCAAAATGAAAGTTGTGGAATCCATCACAAGTCCCCGCAAGTCCATTGTTAGTCACTTCGTCTTATGTCAGGTCACAAGCTAGTCAAATGAACAGTGACAACAACATTCCTTTGTCATTATTCACTCTGTTACTGACTGGTCTTGTGACTGGAATCCTGAAAGGACTCGTGACATACTCAACTACAAAACAGTGCTAAACACTGGTATATTTCTCTTACTAGTGGGCAACAGTTTGTATATTTGCCCTGTCCAGAGGTCAATATATCCACGCTACCTGCACAGTCAGACTGCTGACTTGTCTCTGCAGGTTGTTCTTGGCCTGTTCCTCTTCGTCAAGCTGCTCCTGGAGCTGTTCCTTCTCATCTTCGCTGGCTCGCAACTTGGAGCTGAGATCCAACTTCTGGCGGGTCTCCTCATTCAGGTTTTCCTGCAGATGGGCAGGAAAAAGCGACGCTAACAGAGTTTCTTGGTTGTCTTAAGCAATGATATCTTTCAGCTTCCGTTATGTATAAAGATAAACGTTCAGACTGCAGTGCAATTAGTAAAACTATGTGCCATGCTATATTTTCTCCCAAAGGTTTGTGCATGACAGCTGGAAAAAAAATCCAACCCTCAGAAGAGAAGCCTGAATCAGGGGTGTGAATGGAATACAAAAAGATAGCTGAAAATAGCTGAAATTGCCAGTGCAAAGCACAAAGCATATACAGCGTGGGGAGAATTTAGCAATGTAGATGTTCTGTGCTGCATTTTACAGCCTACTGGTGTAACCGTTAAATTTTTTCTTGCAATTTAGGCTAAGCATATTTTTAATTCTACTTTTTATTCATTTTTGTCCGAAATTCCTGAAGACGTTAAAATTAATGGAGTTACATACATGAACGTGTATACAGACAACACTCATTTTCCCTTAAAATATTTCAACAGTCATCAGAAAGTAAAAACGTCCTTAAAGAGCAAAATAGCTAAGACACTTCTGAAGCATTTACTTAGACAACAGATCCCTTTTTTAAAATTTATGTTCATGCCCATAAAGTTTGAACAGAATGCCTTGAGCAAACTGTAACACTAGCTAGGTCATCCAACAACTGTGGCGCTCCAATGAAGGTAGAACTTAACACCAACAAACCATCACAAGTGGCACTTCACTTGTTTGTCCACTTGGTTGGCACAGTTCCCTTGTACAGTGATAAAGTTTAGTGAACGCTGCTTGAGAGATGACATAAGTGGGCCTTACCTGGACTTCAGCAAGCTGAGCCACCAAGGAGTTTGCTGACTTACTGGATTGTGATGCTTTGGCTTCAGATTGTTCGAGTTGGGTGGTCAGGGATTCCAACTCGTTCTGTCGGGAAAATAATAGCAATTGTTACAGATAATGTATAAATGAGTTTGATACATCAATCGCTCTCCTGTGGCCTACTCTTCATACAACCGGCCGTCATTTTGCTGACATACCCACGGTTGGGTATCAGATACACCTCATAATGTACCCTTGCCCTTATTTTTAACCTTATCCGGTTCGTAAGTGACTTGTCACAAAGGCGGACGCTCCAAGATTTGCAGGCTCCCAGATGATCGCTGAAGTTGTGGGGTAACTTCCGGTTCCATGTCAATGGCGATCAATGCATGTAACTATGTGTAGTGCATGTGCAGAGGGCGTGCTTTAGACTGAAGCCACGTCACACTCACGAACGGGATACAGACAAGAGGGTGTGCTATTTGTCCCCACCCCCCTTGGAAATTTTGCCACGACTCCAAATCACAGCAAATATCCAACTGTTCTTTCCTGACTTTTTTCCTTAGAAGTCTAGCACCTCTCTTAATAGCCAAAAGGCAAAACATCGGACAAAGCATTTTCATGGAAAACAGCAGTTAAAGATTGTGTGTCATCCAAAAAATGAATATTTCCATACAGTGGAGTATAAAATGAGGTCCCGTGCAAACTTGTTGAAGTTCATTCTTTTTGTCTATCAAGATGTGAGTTTTCCTTGTTGTCGCAAACCTCAAAGCTAAAACTAATACCAGAACAATATGATCAGACAATTGACAGTCAATTACGGGGATGAAGTTTTGTCCGTACGGGCTCAGTCCTGGACTTCTTAGCAAAAGGAATTGTTCCCTCGAGCAGGGCCAGCCAGGGCTACGAATCCTACTTGAAGTACAAATCTACTCCATTGATGTGAAGAATGACAAGGAGCCCACGTACCTGTTGCTTGGCTGCACGCTCACAGAATTCACTTCGAGCTCTCTCAGTCTCCGTCAGGCGGACGGTCATCTCGGACAGCTGAGCTTCCAGGTTCTTGCGCTTGCGTTCCGACTCCTGCTTGGATTGGTTCAGCGTCCTGATGTCATTGCTCAACTCAGCTGAGTTGGACTCGAGCGTTGCCTTGTTTTTCTCCAGAGATGTTTTGCTCTGAACAAAAAAAATACGTTGATAGATTTTTTCACTACTTGCCAGCAAATTTGATGTCTAACAAAGTCCTCCCACAACCTAAGTCTGAACGTTTGATGGAACTGAATTAAATCTTGTGGATTTTTTAGTGTTATTCACATCCAAGTGTTTCACTGGCAACACCCACAAGGATTCTGTATCTCCTCAAATATGAACAACTGAACCACTCGCTTTCTGATCGAAAGACTCAAATGACCTTGAGTTAAGCTCAACTCAGCAATTTCAACCTTACCTCGTAAAATTAGTTTAGAATTCAGCCTTTGAAAACTAACCAATAAAACCTGTGAGTTAGAGTTGGTTTAAAAACAGAATGAGTGCGCATTTGCTTTTAAAAAAACCTGCTGAATCATCTTCATTTTGCACAACTATTGGCTTTGTTCACCAATCAGCCATATTGAGCCGAGAATAAAAATGAAAGCACTGAAATAAAACTTCATTTCCAATTACTGTCATTTGTACTGAAGAAGAGTTGACAGTTTGTGATTAATTGCATCTAAAAGTTTCAAGCCACATTAAAAAAAAACACAAAAGTGAGGAATAGAACCCAATATAGTCTGGTACCAACTCATCTGACAGATTAAGATTGAATAAGGTAGATTCAGGGAATATGATAAACAATGGCTTCCTGTGCCTTAACATAGAACCGTTTTCATTCCACCTGAATCCAATTAGTGAATTTAGAAGAGGAGAAAGCACTCCAGACACCCACCCTCTTGAGGGCTTCTACTTGTTCATTCAACCCTTCCACAATCAAATTATTTTTGTGTCGCAGCTCCACGACGGCCGTTTCATGGGCTTTAGTCTCTTCCTCCAGCGCCTTGCGCAGATCCACCAGCTCAGACTCACGCTTGTTGCGGAGCTCTTGCTGAGCAGCGGTGGAGTCGATGGAGTCTTCCAACTCTGACTTGAGCGCTTCCAATTCCTGAGGGAATGGGCGGGAACAAAATAAATTGAGGAAGAGTGTAAAAGATCTTTGCTCTTTAATATGTTGCTCATCAGCTGGTCTGCTCACTCAGTCACATCTGATGAGGTTAACCTCAACGAGGGAGGGAAACAGAATCCCCTATCCTTTTTCACAGATATCGGCCCAACACGTGTTTTTTTTCTCATGCCAAGCCTTCAGGAATTTTTTCCAGAAGTTCCTATCATCTTCGCACTGATTTACAAAAATCTGATCTATTGCTCTTGTAAGATGTCCACTGTTCAGAGACAGAGTGGCGAAAATGGTTAGCTTTTTGCACCACCGTGTACTCACTGCATGTGGGTCGACACGCGTTGGGGTGTGGCTTATGAATAACCATAACATCAAATCAACAGTATATTGAACGGAAACTTCACACAGGTACCAATAAAGGCTGTCTATATGCACGCCAAGTTTCACAAAGATTGGACGTGGAAAGCTGAGACACTGAGAGACGGATTCTGCAACTTTCACTGTAAGTAGCTGGACAAACATCAACTTTAGGTATTAAGTTGGTAGCTAATCCATGTCATTGGATTATTTCTGGCCAGTGTTGTAGTCGTGGTCTATTAAAAACAGCACAGGACCCCATAAGTCAGAAGTTTTCAAATTGAACTGCAACCAAAGCAATTCCTCTGTCTATGTTCACCCTGTTCATTGTGACTGGTCTATTGTATAGTCTTGTGACTGGACTCGAGTCTGGTATAACAAATGGACTTGAGATGGTCTTGAGTACAGCACTACTTTCTACACTCCAAGTTGTGTTGGTAGGAGAGAAGCAAGGAGTGCTGAGGAACACGGACTTTCACTCTTACTTCATTCATGTCCTTCTTGAGTTTCTCTGCCTTTATTCTATTATTTTTTTCAACATCCAGATCTTCTTCCAGCTCAGAGATTCGATTCTCCAGCTCCCGGACCTTCTTCAGGGCAGCGTTCTTGGCCGCTGTTTCTTCATCGAACCTGTGAAATAAGAAGACAAATGTGCCAGAACCTTCTTGTAGCTAGTACTGCGAACCTGCCAGCCACTCTGATGACATCCAACTGTCCCGATGTTTAAGTGTTCAGGCAGCAAAACATCGGAACATTCAAATTTCCATCAAAAAGGAAAAGAGTTCAAGCAAAAGATGGCGCTCTTTGCTGAATAGGAGGGCAGTATTTGCCATGTCAAAATGGCAGTTGTCACACATACATGTATGCATGTGCAGGTACACAGCTCGCACGGCTATTTGTTTTGCTATGGGCTTGTAAAATGAGTGTTCTGATTTCCAACTTTCTGCATGTCGGCAGACAGTCAAAGACAGAATAGTCCTTATTTGAAGATTAATCATCCAAAAACATGGCACGCTAATGAGTTCCTTAACAAGACAACTTTTCCCCAAAGAAAACAGCTCCTCACAGTGTGAACAACTGATTTTTTGACAGAACAGCCAACATGACAACTTGGAACAATTCCGGGAAAACCTGGCACATAAGTCTGTCTGAAGTTGTGTAAACAAATGCAAAAAAAAAAAGCACACTGGAGGACAGTTCATGATACTTCCATTAAATTTTGAAGAAACAAATCCTAGGTAGGTATACAGTGGGGATGGCAGGCACCGACATGACTCCTAAATGACTGCTGAGACAGTCAAAGAGATCCTGGCTAGGAGCCAATGCTTACCTTCCCAGAGCCATTTGCAGATCTTCCTCTTTCTTGGCCAACTGAGCTCTCAGTTCTTCCACTTGAGCTCGGAGTTCATTCAGCTGTTCACGGAGATCGTTCAGATCAGTCTCGTTCTTGCGCTTACACTTCTCCAAATCACTGCGTTGCTGTTTGGCACAGAAAAAGAGTGGTCAGATTTCTGCATTCCCCTTTTCCAGAGGTCTTCCAAAATTTTAAGCCATTTTGCCGAACTAACGGCTGTTCTTTGAGATGCTCTAGCTATGTCAAATTTAGGGCTGTGCTTGATATTTAAAATATGTGGGTATTTGCTTCAATCCATTAGCAGCTATTTGAAATTTTTATTTTGAAATCAAATAACAGGAGTAGAAAAATCGAATGAAACAAGGAAAAAATTCAAATATTTTGCTAAATTTAGGGGATGGATCGCTGTCCTGAAAGTCCACAAGACAGACAGACACACAAACAAGCATATTTTGTTTGGCCTTCAGTACAACTGAATACTCCAATAAATTGGAAGGTAGAATATTGGAATATTTGATGATTTGAACCATCTCAGCTTGAAATGGATTGTGTTCTAACCTTCTCCTCACGACGCAGTTTGTCCTCCAAGTCACCAATAGTGGATTCATGACGCGATTTCAGCTTCATTAGACCTTTACTCTTTTCTTCCTCTTCCAGCAAGGTGCCATCCACGTCCGACAAACGCTCCTCAATCGACTTCTTCTCTTTGTTCAACTGGATTCACAAACAACAACAAAATCTAAGTGTTTACTCTTTCAAACCTTGTACAAATCTACTCTCAAAAATGAAGAGGGTGAAATCAAACCGGGCAGCATGTCAACAGGATTACTGAGCAAAGCTTGAAGCAACACCAGCCAACTTTTGTCAGTCAAAAATAGACTCCTTCAGTTTTCCACCAATTCTCACTTAGAAATCTTAATACATTCAGCCACATATACCACCAAATTGTTAGATGTATCCGGGTTTTTGAGAGCATCACTGCAGATCTGACTTCTCTCCAGGAGCATCTTAACACTCAAAACATGCCTGATAAATTTTATAGCAATCCACTTGGAACACAGGGTTTCACCGTCAACATTTAAGTACATGTATGATCCCACTGCGTTTCCAAGGAAACAAGAGTTGATCTAATTTCAAGGATGCCCATAGGCCACTAATATGACTGGTGTTACCGTTCTGTTCAGAAAAGAGATGAGTAAGTTAGGTTGAGTATCCCATGGGATGTTGTTGGCATTGGCATGGCTTACTCACCTTGGAATTGGTGTCTTGCAATGAAGCCAGGTCCTCTTCATATTTCTTCACTTTGGCATCCAGGCTGACTTTATCAAGTTGCAGTTTCTGGCGTTGGGCTTCCTCCTCTTCCAACCTGAGATTGGGGGGAATTGACAGCTTATCACAACTTCCGTTTTAGTTCAATTTGATCAAAGTATTAAGAGAGAAGTCTTTCCTTTGTTCACATTGTGAGGCGGTTTGCCAGTCTCTCGCAGGTTAGTCTCCGGCTGAGAGCTTATTTACAAGTGTCACAGGAATGAGATGGGAAAAACAGGAAATTGAGACATAACCCCCAGAGGTTTTTCAGCAGAAAGCAATACAACTTTGTTGTGGAATAATGCCGTTAACAAATAGTTAAATAGGTTTGGCTTCAAGATGCCAGCACTCAATAATGGATTGTGCATAGAGCGCCCTCTAACAATAATTAGACAAGCGCACTTGCTCACACTAACGTCACTTGCGGGAGCAGTTCAACTTTGCTTAATTTTCTCCAAAGGCTTTCCTGGGGTATCAATCAACAACACAAAATGGTTTACTGCAAGACAGAAAAATGCAGTGGCGCTAATAAATGCAACCGTCGCTATTGATCACTGACATCTTGGGCCAAGACTAGTGGTGAAAGACGGAAGGCAAATCTCACTGTTCCTCCAGGTCCTGGATGTGAGCTCCAAGTCGTTTCTTTTCGGCCGACAGGTACTGGCCACGTTCCTCTTCCTCTGCGATGCGGCTCTCCATGTCATGAAGGATTTCCTCCAACTCTAGCTTCTTGGCAGACAGCTTGATACTCCTCTAGGTCAAGAAAGACGGCACCCATCGAATGAATCAACGAAATCATTGCAAACATGGAATTTTTATGTGAACAAAACGTTCAGAAGCTTTGCACAAAAATTCTTGAGCACTTTTTTGGATGCATCTCTCACCTATAAAATGTATTTTCATTGTACAGGTAACATTTGATATAAATTGTATTTGAATGGGTTTTTTGGGGGGGGGAATTTTCCATTTTTTTATTACAAAGTTCCTGTTAGAGCAAGATAATTTGGTTTCAGCAACTCTATTACCAAACAATTTGAGATTTTTCTGTTAATTTTAATTCATTTGCACACAAATTCCAATAAAACAATTACAAACAGAGATGAAGCATATATGGTAAACAAATCAATCTGTAATGAACCGTCTACTTTGAATAAAGACTCCTGATTGGATCCAACTCAATACTGAATCAACATTAACATTTTCACTTGTCACAAGGAGAAAACCCCAACCTCCTCAGCTTCGGCGCTAAGCTCCGTCTCGGCCTGGAGCTGTTCAGCCAAGATACTCTTCTCCACCTGCAGCTGATCGTGATTCTTCTTCAACTCGGCAAACACCAACTCGGACTTGCTCAACTTTTCCTTGACCTTCCGCAGTTCGGATTCCTTGGCTTCCATCTCGGCCTCTTGACGAGATACATTAAGCAGGGGCTTCACCTGCGACCCAAAGCGAAATGAACTTGAGACCAGTGATGGAAAAATTTGGGACTGCTATTGCCTGGTTTACTACATTTCCATTTTGAGTCAAGAAATGGGCAATGCCTTAAATCTTATTCCCATAATTTGAATTCACTGGAAAATTCTGATCAGTTGGTGAGAAAATGCTCAAAGGGGTCAGGCAATTTTTCCCTTAACCCCTAATCCCTTTCTCTAATTTTGCTGCCATCCTAGCAAAGCACAACCACATCTAACAGCTATAAAGTATGTTGCCTGCTAAACCCAACATACAGCGGCTTGAACACTCTGTTGGATCCTGTTCGGTTCACCATTGTTAAGGTGGGCAAGGCAATTTCCCCCTTGAAGTTGGTTCACAGTTGATACTTCAGCAAAAACTAACATAAATTTGTGATGCAAGATGAAGTACTTGTCGCGCCAAATGCTTTGTGGGTACTCGCTGCATTTACCTGAAGCAGGAACCAACCTTTAACCATGACCATTATCAGACAACCCATGAGTACTGTACCTTGGTGAAGAGACGCCACCAGTTCCAGTTCCGTAGTTTGACGTAGGACCGACAGTTGCGCTGGATGACGCGAATAGCACTTAACTGCTGCACACGCTTTTGGTAGAGTCTGCGAATCAAGCAATCAACCTAATGCTTACCTCCTGCTTCACCATCATCTCTAACAAAGTCACCATATACAATTCAATGGCTCTTTTTCTTCTAAATATAATACACCTGAAACGATGGTATACACCTGACATGATGGTATTCATTCTAACCTCTGACCCTCCCTGCAATTTTCCATGACAGAAAGATAGTAAAGTGTGCTTTGTAACAAGAAATTAACGTTTCGCTTAGAAATGACGCAACGCAAATATTAAAACCAAAAACATTTGAGCGACTTTTCTGGAATGGGAGTGACTCTCAATATATTGCATAACTAAGTGTGCAAAGGCCATGCAAAGGCCATTTTTCTAGTCTGCAAGTCAACAACATGACCACTTACTGCCTACGACTTGGCCAGTCTTGGGTAAATTTTTTACAGGTTGGGGCCTCTCATGGAGCAGAAAGAACAGAGATTAATTCAAATTGCTACTCAATATATGCATATCAAATTGCTACTTAATATACGCATATCAAATTGCTACTCAATATACGCATATTAATCTTTCCTGACAAACAATAGGAAAAAATCAAGTTCCCCGCGTGCAACTGGCTAATACCAGTTTAATGTTAATCTTGGCTTCTTACTTTCGACCAATCATTCCTCTGCAGTGAGCCTGGAATTGGATGATGATGTCTGTCAGTTTCAGGTCCCGTTCCTCCTCCAGGTGGGCAAGTACCCCGGCACGGAAGAAGATCTTGCTCTGTCCGATGCGGTAGAGGTTGGGCTCCAGATCCAGGGCATCAATCTGAATGAGGAAAGGCTTTCGAGTGACAATACTTCCAAGGACAAAAAACCACACTAATCCCTAACAGCAACGTTTTGTTACCAACCACAGTGAAGACCTCAAATGATCATCACACACAAATGACGTTTGAATAAGCCCACATTCATTACAAATCAGTTGTATTCTAGATATTTACATTCTGAAAAAGATTGAATTGTCTTCGGACATCAAATGAAATAAATCTTTCTATCATAGCTTAGTGCAACAAAACTTATTATTCTCAACGCAAATTCCTTACAGTGCATTGACATTGAAAGTTAACACTATGAATCCGAATGACAAATTTTGTGCAAAGAATTCCTGTTCACTTTCCCACATCTCACAAAACTACAAAAAATAATTTCCCACTTGTGTGGAAATCTGTGAAAATCTTTTCCTCCAGAAGACAACTTTTCTCTCCCCGGTTAACTTTCAACTGCAATCTACTATAGTTTGTAGAAGTCAGACAAGATTTTGAAAGCATAACTGCAAAAACTGTCACTGTAATTAAAATCTAAAGCTGCTAAGAGGTCAATGCAGTGGGCCCTGTTTACTAAAAACTGACCATCTTTTGGACAGCTTTCCTGCCATCCATGAAGCCCTTGGGGACGACGCCGGGCGTCAACAGCTCGTAGCGTTGCTTGAACTCCTGAAACAAGACACGGTTGGGGAAACCCTGGCGACAGATACGGATTCCTTCCAAGACTCCGTTGCAACGCAGTTGCTCCAGCACAAGTGGAGAATCAATCTTACCCGCCTGAAAATGAGAGAAACAATCAGGAGTTACCTAATGTCTGTACTGATGCCATTCTATATTGTGAAGTACACATTCCACTGCATAGTGCCCACATCAATACTACCCCTGCTGAGCTAGTTTAGAAATTCTTCGACCACTGCTCCCCTATTAAAATGCAAAGCTCTGTGCTAACATATAGGCAGAAATGGCAAAAACTGAACTCCGTTCAACTCCCTAAGTCATCTGTAACATTATACAAGATACTGAACCCCACAGGATCCAACACAATGTTCTTTCTGAACCCCACAGGATCCATCACAATGTTCTTTCTGAACCCCACAGGATCCATCACAATGTTCTTTCTGAACCCCACAGGATCCATCACAATGTTCTTGCTGAACCGCACAGTATCCATCACAATGTTCATGTGGAACCCCAAAGGATCCAACACAATGTTCTTGCTGAACCTCAAAGGATCCAACACAATGTTCTTGCTGAACCCCACAGGATCCAACACAATGTTCTTGCTCTTGTTTGGTGGATTCAGTTTATCATTGAGTTCAAAAAATGTGTTAGCTTTCAAAGGCCGCATTTTCCTTCACTGACCACCAATATTTTTTCAGTGAAGAGAGCGTGTCTTAAAACGTCTTGGTTTCTACCTTCTTCTCGTGGTTGGGAATGATGCAGCGTACGAAGTTGGGGTTGGTGTTGCGTAGTGTGACCATCAAACGTGACAGCTGGTCCTTGTACAACTGACCAACTGTGCGGAACATACCCTTGCGGGTACGCGAGGAGCCAAACGTGGATGCTGCATCTCCACCAGCAAGGGCGCTCATGCTGACAATTGTAGCTGTGAGGGAATGCCAAGTTTCATTGATTAAACGGGGAGAGACTTCAAGAATCAAAGCATGTCAAAGAGGATTTCCATCCTTATTATGCATTCAAACGCTCGACTTTGTTACCTGCATTACCACCCAAAACTGAAAAGTTCACAAGTTAATGGTTTCATAACAAACTGGATAACCAGAAAATCTACATCTAAAAAAAAATTGAAACAGAAAGAAATTCATGCATTCATCAAAGCAATTCTGTGCTGAATTCTTGAAGAACATCTGAAGAATCATCCTTACCTCCTGAATACAAAAACCATTTTTAAATGAAATATCCTCAAGTAGTTCTCACTGAAAATGTCTATAATTTGACTGACGTGTCATGCCTCTTTCAGGAGAGGAAATGCTCAGGGAAGTGAGGAAAGCCTTACCATCCTTCCAAATGTTGCAGACAAAGGCATCATTGGAGTTCTGGAGAAGGGCCACCACATTGTCATTGAGTGGATCCATGTTCTTCATCAGCCAAGCCGCTGATGAGTAGTTCACCTAATCAATCAAAAAGGTGGTCAGAACATGCAAAACAAACAGACTTTAGTCACTGGTCAGCCATATTCAAATTGAAAGAGAGGTTAGATCTTCTTTATTGAAAGGTGAGAGTAGAAATGAAAGCAATAAAAAGAAATTTCATGACAAATTAGTACCTCTCTACTCTGATGAATAATCTCAAATTTGTGATTAAACACACAAAATTATACCATGGTATTTTAAGCCAGATTTAGAAAATATTTAGGGGGGAGGCTTGTACACATGGCTATCATAAAACAGTCTGGTGCCATCCTAATCGACAGTCTGCAATTTAAAGAACAGATTCAGGGAATAAGATCAAATGTTATTCTGAAGACCTTCAGAATAACATTTCAACATTTACTCCTTTTGAATTTTTTAATGGCCTTCCAGAATTGTCTACAATCTCCCACTATGCAGAAACCCAATGGTACACTCTTTATTTTCCGCCTTTCTAAAATTCCCCTCAAAGCTCTCGGTGACATTGGACTGATCTATGGTCAGAGCTGCAAACTACTTCTCCCTACAAATACTCATCAATCATCAGGAATGCTTTTGTTGTAGTTAATTTGAATTCAGACTGGAGGTCTTGTGTTGGTTTTGTGAAGGTCTTAAGTGGTCTTGTGAAGGTCTTAAGTGGTCTGGACTACAACACTGGTTGCAATTACTTGGCAAAAGAGGGACCTTTTAGAGTACATGAAATTTCTGCACAGTGCATGAAAAAACACAATACTGAATACCGCAAACTTTGAAGGATAAAACAGTAACAAAAGCCGCCTCTGGGTCACATGTACCCCGTGCAGGTGGTGCAATCATATTTTTGTTGCCAATCTCAAGGTGTATTTTTTGCAACATGCTTGCAACACAAGGTGTCCTAGCGTGATGACTTGAACTAAGGTCTCACAACAAGTTTTTTATTTTGGAAGCGATTTGGAGGTGTCTTTTTGATCAGCGTCACAAAAACCTTCAGATAATCGGATAAAGTGTTATGGACAGTTACAGAGGTTTTTTATGTAAAAGCCTATTCTTTGGGCAAGAAATAGTCCGCCTACAAGATAAAACAACCTTGTGAGTTACCAAAATCTTATTGTACGTCCGCAACAGCATAATTTTTGCTTGAAAAACGGCAAGAGCTGACGCACGGCCCATACAGGACCACCATCCAGCAGCCACAAGAATTAAATTTGAGGACTTAGAAATTCACTTTTTATGGTGACACTCGTTTGCATTTTGCTTACATTTATTAGAATTGCATGTGCAGAGGAACCATTGAGGTACTGCACATGCTGTATTGGTGCTTCAGCACGCAGCATGATGACCTTCATCAAGTTCATGGTTGGATCGTCAGCACTGTGGTGCGGCTTTTATGCCAACTTTAACTCTTAATTTGCCAATTTCTGCATGCTGCGGCCCATACATCGCGCAGCTGCTATTCCAAAAATTACGGTACTTTTTCCAAAGCAGATTTCCTCGCAAATATTCACAAGAAGGTTGAACTCACCTTTCCGGCGTAGTGGTGAACGGCAAAGTCGGCGTCTTCACGGAAGTCTGGCTTCTGGAACTTGGTATGTTTGATGTGAGTCTTGCAGAGTTTCTCAGTGAAGCTCTTGTCGGTAGCCTTGGGGAACCAACACTCTTCATCCAGGAGAGCCAGGATACCCATGGGCTGAGGACAAACAGCGCTCAACAGATGAAGGCACACTAAAATCAGATCAACTCAGGCAGGAGACGTTACTCTCAAAGTAATGTAATAAGCGGGGATGAACTTGGGAGACGACCTACCTTCTCGATGAGATCGATGCAAGGTTGGAGATCCAGACCAAAATCGATGAACTTCCAATCGATACCTTCACGTTGGTACTCTTCCTACAAACACAACAAGCACATTTCTCCTGTTACTTCTACAAGATACAGCAGAGAGAAGTACCCTTCTCAAGTTTGGAGGCGTCCAGGCAATCCTAATGAATTATCTACCACCAGCTCAGACTGCCTTTCAACTATTCCTTACTATGCTTCCTCACATCAAGGAGATTTGGTTATAATTGGACTTAAAATTCTCCAGAGACACTCAGCAGGGAAAAAAATGCATGGCAAATTCATAAATCAAGAAAAATATACAGATCACATTATCAGCCCAATACCACTTTGCAGTAAAGTGTTTGAAGAAGTGTTCAGCACATCAGCCTTAGTAAGGAAAGCAACAAATATAATTTACTTAAGGGAAGACTGTTACTGTGCTACATCAGACTCTGAAAATGGTGACTAAATTACGTTAAGTAGCTAGGAACAAAAAATCAACTCAGCTTAAATGCCAAACTAACGTTTCAGCAAAACTGACTCTGAAAGATCACGAGCTGATCTTTTTGCTTGCGAAATCAACTTTGGTGAGAGTTTGTGGCAATACCTGTTCCAAGATGAACATGGTGTGGTTGAACAGCTGCTGCAGCTTCTCGTTGGTGTAGTTGATGCACAGCTGCTCAAAGGAGTTCATCTAAAGTGACAAAAACCCCACAAAACTAACGTCAAAGACAGAAGATTTCAGCTGCAAGTAAACGTGAAGTGGTCTTTGCTTTGTCTAAGAGCACACTTTTCAATTTCCAAGAATAGCTAATGTAGGTAATGCAACTTATCTCCCAAACAAATAAACAATTCAAGGTCAATTTCAATGATGCAAATCCCTCATAACATTGTAATAGGGATAGAAAATGTCAGAGTAAGACCCCAAATTTATCAATTGCACAGTTCAGGTGTAACAGAGACAAAAAGATATGTCACACGTTAGACCCCAAATTTATCAATTGCACAGTTCAGGTGTAACAGAGACAAAAAGATATGTCACACGTTAGACCCCAAATTTATGAATTGCACAGCTCAGGTGTAACAGAGACAAAAAGATATGTCACACGTTAGACCCCAAATTTATCAATTGCACAGTTCAGGTGTAACAGAGACAAAAAGATATGTCACACGTTAGACCCCAAATTTATTAATTGCACAGCTCAGGTGTAACAGAGACAAAAAGATATGTCACACGTTAGACCCCAAATTTATCAATTGCACAGTTCAGGTGTAACAGAGACAAAAAGATATGTCACACGTTAGACCCCAAATTGATATAATGACACAGATGCCAAAACTAAACAGAAATATACAGCACTACGAGGAATACAGTCTAAATTTTGGATGCAATCCAAGACCTCTTCAAAACCCACCACACAACACCTGACTAGAAACTGTCAAGCGGCTTACCCTGAAGATCTCAAAGCCAGCAATGTCCAGGATGCCAATGAAGGATGCCCCGGTGCGCGTGGTGCGGTCAAGCGACTTGTTGATGCGGGCCACAATCCACTTGAAGAGGCGTTCGTAGATAGCCTTAGCCAGGGCCTGGGTAGCAAACTCAACCTACAGAAAAAAAAAGGAAGAAAAGAAAAAGTTTACAATGGTAATCATACAACTCAGTTTATTTCTTGAAATATCTTTCTGGAACAGAAATAACCTGGATAAAAAAATGACCCCTAACTCACTATCTGTAAGTTATTATGCTAGAGGTTCTGTTGTAAGAGTTCAGATAAATTCGTGTCTATTGTTATCAACAGCAAGGGAAGAGGTGATTGGAAACAATGATGAAAAGGACAAATTACTCTTATCACATAATTTACTCAGGTGGATGTTTGTGGAGGTGGATGTTTACCTGTGCAACTGACTGAGCCTTGTGCACAAAATCACGGCCGACTTTCAGCTTGGGTTTCAGCAGAGCTTTGGTCATTTCAGTCACATTCAGTCCAAGCAGAGCACACAGCTTCTGGGCAACTGTACAAGAACATTTTTTTAAATTAAAATCTTGGAGCCTGTTTATTTCGCACAAAGTCAGGACCGCAATAAGTCATCCGATGACTGTTCATCGACACCAGAACCTGCCTAACGGAAGGGAACAAACCAACTGTGGGACAGATCCATTATCAAGATCCAGATCAAGATGACGGTTGAGGTCAAGATCCAGGTTGAGATCTAGATCAAGATTTTGACTCAGATCGATCCACGTCCACGTGAAACAAATAGGCCCAGAAATCAGGACACGTACATGTAATACACATGAAAGAACGTAAACTCAATACATTTTAAGGCGAAGTACCCTCAACTAGTCTGCGATTCATTTTTGCCCTAACTGAACAGGACAGAATTTTTAATGACACATCAACTATTGGTCGGAATGAAACAATTTGTAGTCCTCTGCCAGCGCAGTATTGCCATGGTAACCAGACAGACTGCCGAGTTGAGGGCATTGTTTTTATTGCTGCCAATTAAACATCCCAGGGATTTGATGGTACTCAAAAATGGAATGGTGGAGACAGCATGTACAATTAATCCAATAGACATCATTCGGGGGTAGCCATTTTTATCTTGTTCCCTAAATCTATCATACACAATATAACCTGTTAAATGGGGTGGTGCCAGGTTATTTGGGGTTCCAAATCCCACTTTCATTTTTTTAAAATGTGGCATTTAATATTCAAACACAATTATCAAAAATGGGCATAAAACTGCAGTGAACTTTTAAATTTCGTCAGTGTTACTTTTACTCTCAGGCTCCCAGAAAGAAAACTTTTACGCCACTTTAAATTCAAGATGACACATGAACAAAGTCTGTTGGCTGGTCAGTTTCTAATTGGTTAGTACTCTACTTTCTGACCATTTTTCCAGTAAGTTCCCAACATCTTTCAAAATCCACCAGTGAGCAAACAACTGAGATATTCTTTTCATTCCAAGGAGATTGCAACCACCGTGGCCCCTGATCACCAGTATAAAACTGTGGTGTAGTCTTGCGTGTGTCAGATTTCAGCCAAACCTGGTGTACAAGTTTGAATGGCTGGAGTAAGTTTATTGTACAAATCATGATAATTTGAACAAACCTAGCATGAAATACAACTTATCCTTTGCATAGCTAAATAATCTATGAGGTTCCTCTATTTCTGGTTTTTGTTATTATAAATCCAACTTTCAGTGCACTGCGCCGTCTTTTGTTCCTGCACAGAGTGGATACCACTTCAGACAACCCCCGTAACGAACCATCGTGGTTAGCCCTGATCATTATTTGCCGTGGCCTCACCTGTTGTCTCCGGGAGGATGGCTTGGTCGTTGTTTCTCTCGGACTTGAAGACCAAGTTACCAAAGAGCATCACGGCAGACACAACCTTGAACACAGCTACAGACATAAATCAGAAACAGGCAATTCAAATAAGGTAAATGACAGTTTGCATCATTCAAATGAACACACTTGATTAAATCTTAGATTTTTGGATCCACTGTTGGAGCCTAAAGACACGTCGTATAGGGTTCCCAGAGAAATGTCAAAAAGAAAATCTTGACTTTTCCAGGACTTCCAAGGACAATAATTGAACAGTTTCCAGGACATTTTAACGATTTTGCAGAGAAAGTTGTGAGGTATTATGAACAAGCCACTTTTACTGACTGACAAGTCTTTAGCCCATAGATTTCATTAGTCTGTAGTCTGAAAACTGGATTCCAGGACGCCCTATTTTCCCCAAGTTTTCCCTGAAGTTTTCGTGACTTTTCAGGACAAATTTTTCCTGGTTTTTTTGTTTAGGATTTTCCATGACCGTGGGAGCCCTTATTGCATGTGTTGAACTTGAACACACGTGTTTTAACCCTCCTATGCTGAAGTCACTCTTTGGGTCACTTGGTGACCACCTCAAAGAAGCACAGCTGTGTTGTGTTGTGCACTGCACCAACAGTCCCTCACAGGAATATCAGATTGCACTTTTGTGCTGCCCACCAACTGTGCTTCACTGTTTCATGTGCATCATTATGCAGTAAACCAAATGCAGTGAAGAGGACTGCACAAAAGACCCTGGGTCATTTTGTGCTGGCAACCAACTGTGTACACACTGAACCTGTGCATGTTTGTGTTCCATATGGAAAACACATGCAAGAGAGTGACTGTGGGCACACGTGCATATTTGTGCTGTTAAACCAAAGGAGGGTTAAACAGATCACATGAACTATATGCATGGTATACAAATCTGATGTAAAGGCTGGTGCTTGAGAAATGAAAATAACTGACAGGGGAGACTTACACATGCTGTCATCAGTCATGCTCATGATGTCAAAGGCATCCTGAGTGACATCAAACTCATCCAGGTCGCTGACCCCGGGCACCGGCACGTGTCCATTGCTCAGGAAATTGTACTTGCTGATGTCTTCCAGCAGTAGCTCCTCTGAAGAGAGAGAGAGAGAGCGAACGTCAATGACCAGTGAGAATGCTGTTGTCTGTTGAATCTGCTTGCCAAAGACATTCAAGAGCCATCACTTGGCAAAGATTGAACTTGTCAAGTCAAGATTGAACTTGTCAAGCCAGTGGTGCACATCGAAGAAACCAAACCACAGAGCAAAGTATTCCCAACATTTGTACAATGAAAGTACTCAATAACACCGAGTGCAAGTCAAGAGATCTGAATGGTGACATCTCACAAAGCCCTTCATCGCAACTCCCTGAACTGTTGAAGGACATTTCCACACCCTAGAATACCCAGTTTGTTTGTTTTTATCACTGTCGTGTACCAAATCAATAAAAATGCATTAAACATTGATGCAGAAACCTACATGTAACTCCACATCAACTCGAAAAAGTAGGCAGCTTGACATTTCAATCCTAGCAGCTTTTGCTTGAGAAATATATCCCTATTTTGCTGATGGCCATGGAAGTATGGAAATATGCATTAGCTCAAACAAATGCACATATGTACAGATNGTTTCAAACAAGTCCATTTAGAATTTCAGTGGCTACTTAACAAGACACTCTTCACAATGACAAAAACTTACACAAAGTGACTCTGCTGACAAGTGCTACCCTGAGCCACAAAGTAATCAAATATGCCAATAGTGATGGAAAAAATTAATAGACTTCAGGTGAGACTTTTGGAACCTTTGTATCAATTGATCAGTCCTTCCACACTGAGCGGGTGTCAAACTTTACACATTCTTGTGATTAATTCAGGGCATCCAAACAATCGCACATGGGGGCCTTCAGCATGCATTGACTGACAATAATTGAAGTCCTCCCAAGCAAACGCTGTCCCATCAATCATATTTCTCCACTGTAGTCCGCTTTGCCACACCCCCCCATGAATAAACAAACAAAGGCAGGAAGTACAAACAATGCTCACACACACTGAGGCCAACTCCACCACCTGACCTTTGACCTGTAGGATCCAGGGTCTAATGCCATACTCAAACATGCCAGTCAACACAACCAGGTTGCTTCAAAGTGTGAAGCAAATACCATTGAAGCAGGGTTATTACATGTACATGTATTTCAACTGAAGACATGGGGACATTTTCTGCCAAACATGTTCCCTTGAAAGTATGACTGGTTACTTACCATGCTAAATAACCATCCAGGAAATGCAGATTATAGAAACATGGAGTCACCCTCAGATTCTTCCAAGATAATTGCAATTCACTTTGTCTTATAAAAAAAACTCTGCACCTATTTAAACTGTATCACAACTACGACCTATGAGAATTGTCTGAGGTAACTATGCAAACTGGTGCATGTTCCACCCAACACTGGTTTACCTTTTCTTTTCAACTGTCACTCAGAGGTAAGGGCCAATTTGGGGAGGGGGCAACAGGTGTCACACCCCCCCAAAAGAGCCACACAAATTTCATTTCCCTTCCATCAAAGCAGGTACAAACCCCCAAACTGTACCATCACCCCTCAGAAAGGCTACAGGTTACCTGAAAAAATGTACAACTTTTGTCCCCTCCCCTTACCCCTCCCAAATTTGGTTCGGTATCTGTCCCCACCCAGGGGGCATGGGGCACCAATTCAGACAATCAGCAGGATCCAAGACTTTGAAAATTGAACCCCGGACAAGTGCATTTAGATTAGATTGAAATACATACTCCACATGATCTCACATCACAAGAATTCTACAAGGTTTTTTCTGTCGTTTTGGATTCTGTAATTTCTCTTAACATTTTGTAAATAGTACTATGATATTTCAAACTAAATGGATGTCACTCTGGGTCTTTCCAAAACTGAAGGGGGAAATGTCTATTAGGTAAAGGGTCAACAATTCAACTTCTGTTCAAGTTAAAGAACAGCTACTCACTCCTTTGAGCATCGGTTGCTCCGGCGAGAAGCTGGTAGAAGATGTGGAAGGTTCGCTCAGTAGGAGCTTGGCGAGTCACGCGAGCCTTCTCAAGAAGGTCTTGGAAAGAGGTGCATTAAGGGGAAAAACAGTCTTGTGGGGGCACAAAGGCAATGATGACCTGCTGTGTGAAAGTTCTAGAACTCTTGTGAACTACATGTAGGGGCCTACATATATTCTTTTGGTAATGTCTCCCCAGTCCTTCAAAATGGAAAAAAAAGCCCATCAATTTTTCTTTTTTCTGAGAAATAATTGTGGCCCAATTGGAATAATTACCATGTTTTAAACCTTATAAAATTCTCCATGTCGGTAACCCTGCCATTGGCCACTCCGCTCTGAACATTCCTATAACTGTCATGTTCACTACTGAGTGCAGTAATTCAATGGCACATACACCTATCTGCATGCATAAGCCTGACATGAAGTATTTGTACAGCAGTATTAGCGAGATCATTACAAGTTCATCCAGTCTAGGAAAACATTATCAACACCTGTGAGTGGATTTTTGACAGACTCTGAAAAGTTATGACAAATATGGACAATGTGCCTTATGCTGGTACATTCACTACTTGCAAGTGGATTACTAGTGTTCAAAAAGTAATGTCTCGCCATTTGGCAATGAAATTCACAGGCAGGGGTGAGAAGAAATTTGTAAACATGTCACAAAACACAAATGTCCAGCAACGTGAGTCAAAATGAAATT